ATGAAGTGGGAAAAATGAGAGTTAAATGGGGAAATGAGCTCCAACAGAGTGGATTTCTGACCTAAAAGCACAAGAGCAACAGAGGACTGAGCTGAAAGACCCACTCTAGACACCGGGAGCCTGAGTTCCATTTCTGAGCTATTGGTGCAGTCTTCAGGAATCAGGAAGAGCTGCAGAAAGTGACATGTCCTCAAGGGACAGTCAGCTCTGAGGGTGGTGTGAAGCTCCTGAGAAAGCCATTGTAGGTGAGAAATAACAAAGCAGAATCCGATATTTTCCATATAACTGAAACTACTCAGTCTATTGGAGAATTATCACGTTATCCAGGACGCAGCAGTTGATTGCTTATGAATGAGTTATTAAATCTTAAAGTGGAAGTATGGAATTTATAGAAGAAATCAGAGAAGAATTTCTCTGTGTTTTTAGAATGGGAAAATAAATTTGTCAGAGAATAAATGACAACAAAAAGTAGGAAGTGACAACTTAGATTTTAATAAATTTAGAGCTGATCACCATCAAAAGAAAATCTGTTATTGGAATAGGAAAGAGAGAGACAAGCAGTAATGGAATTGTATACATAATATTGCAGCACTTCAATAAAATAACAGGAAAAGGGAAGACCACAAGTACTAAATCACACCTCAAAAAAAGCTAGCCAAATTGTATTCAACTTTTGGACATATCATCAAATTCCTTAGTATTAAAAATGGGAACAAAACAGCTATCTAAAATCATCACACTCCTATAAGAATTAAAAGTGATTGAAATTAGTGTTGGCACAAGCTGGATAGATTGGAAAAGTCATACAGGGCTGGGGGTTTAAAATTGGTAAAATGGTGGCTGGCACTGTGGCGTGATGGGATAAGCCTGTGCCTGCCGCACCAGCATGCCATGTGGGTGCTGGTTCAAGTCCCCGCTGTTCTTCTGATGCAGCTCCTTGCTTTGGCTCCTGGGAAAGCATAGAAGATGGATCAAGTGGTTGGGATTCCTCTGAGAGGAGGGACTCATCAAAGATTCTGCATAGCATGATCTTGTTCTGTGACGTGGGATCGCTAACACTCTTGGCAAATACTTAGGCATGAAAATGATGAGCACAGATTTCCAGGAATGGTTAGATCAAGGACTGTGAAATTACCATGCTGAGGCAATGCTGAGAGCAAGAAAGGAAACTATAATATGAAATTTTCTAAATAACTGAAATTATTAGTTTTATAGGAAAACAATATGAGCTGTTACTTATATGATTACAAATTGATTTTGAGTAGATTTCTGTTTTAAACTTAAAGATGATTAATGTAAATTAAAGAAGAACATAGCTGTAGTCTTACAATAGGAAAAGTTCTCTGGCAAGGAACAAAAATTGTTAAATATAAAATATAAATGATAAATTATCATATAAAATTCAGCCACTGCTTGAGACATCCACATCCCATATGAATGCCTGGAATTGAGTCCTGGGCCTGCTTCCCTTTCAGCTTCTTGCTAATGCTCCAAGGAGGCAAAGATGATGGCCCACATGCTTGAGTTCCTGCCACCTTCTTGGGAGACCCAGATGGAGTTTCTGGCTCCTGGCTGCAGCCTGGACCAGTTGTTGTGCTTGTGGGCATTTGGGGATTGGACCAGTGGATGGAAAGTCAGTCTCTATCTCTATATCTTCTCTCTCTCTGCCTCTCAAGTATAAATAAATCATTTTAAAACAAATACACACACACACACACACACACACATATATATATATATATATATATAGTATTCTTACAAATAACATGTAGAAAGACAACAGAATAAAAATTTGAAAAATTAATCAAGGTGCTCCAAAGCAAAGGCCATTTAATGTTTATTAAACATGTGAAACATACTGAACTCCATTAGTAACCAAGCAAATGCAAATAAAATCAATACATGAAATCATCACATACTAACATATACAAATAAAAATTACAGAAGTTACCAAGTGTGGCAACATGTGGATAAACCAGAAAGCCCACAGACATCCAGAGGAAGGGGCTGGTGAGAACAGGTTTTGTGAAGTATTTTTCAGTAACTTATAATGTAGAAGCAATGTAGAGCTATGATCCTACAATTTCCTCAGCCCATATATGCTTACCCAAATAAGAGTTCCATATTTGCATCCCAGTGCTATTCCATAAAAGTCCCTATTTGAAAACAGATTACACAAATTTCAGTTGTGTTATGACAAAATAGGTTTGATGCTCACACAATGGAATTTTCTACAGCAATGATCTTGAATAATCCACAACACATGAACCAATACAGGTACCAAAACATAAGGAATGAAAGATAAATAAGTGTATGCCATGCAATTTTATGTATTTAAAACTTTAAAGCAAGATGAAGGTTACTATCTTCTTAGATGTCAGAATAGTGGTTACCTAGTGGCGGTAGTCACTGATGCAGGAGAAATTTAGCTCTCAAGGGAGGCAGCTGATATTATTTTGTTTTTTAGGATCCAGATGTTATTATAGAGGTGTACTGAGCATGTGAAATTTTAGGCTACCTGTATTTATGACATTAATTTTTTAAAAAAGAAGCCAACATTCAAACTAAGTTAGCAGAATGTTAACGGGTAAATGTTGGGTTAGAATTGTTAGAATTGTTAGAATTGAGATTAAAATTATTAAATAACCATAATATGATTAGTTTAAAGTATACTGTAATTCTGTATTGAAATTAAGAGGCACTAGGGGCTGGCAATGTGCTGTAGTGGGTAAAGCTCCCACCTACAGTGCCAGCATCCCATATGGGTGGCTCGTTTGATTCCTGGCTGTTCCACTTCCAATCAAGCTCTCTGCTTTGGCCTGGGAAAGCAGTAGAAGATGGCTCTAATCCTTGGGCTCCTGCACCCATAAGGGAGACCAGGAAGAAGCTCCTGGCTCCTGGGTTTGGATCAGCACAGGTGCAGCCATCTGGGGAGTGAACCAGCAGATGGAAGACCTGTCTGTCTCTCTCTGCCTCTTCCTCTCTGCAATTCTGCTTTTCAAATAAATAAATAAATCTTTGAGAAATAAAAAAACTAAGAGGCACTGAATACACAACCTCCAAATAAGAGAGGCAAACAATAGAATTATTTAAAGAGTAATACACATTAAGTTGTGATAGAAAAATCAAGAATTTATAGCAAAAAGAATGCAAAGAACACAATATATTGATAAATCTAATAATCAATATAGACATTATGATATAAAGTATAAATAGATTAATTATTCCTGTGAGTGTCAGACATTTTATTATATTCAATGGGAAATATTTTCAAATATACAGCTAAAAATCCTGGCCCAGTACCAGCCATCATGGCCATCTGCAGGGTGAACCAGCAAAAGCCCTCTCACTCTGTCTCTCCTTCTGGTCACTATGTAACTCTGACTTTCAAATAAATAAATAAATATTTTTTTAAAAATGATTAAAATAGAAAAAAAAATATATATATATACCTATATAAGCCATGTCTCAACCATGAAGGAGTAATTAATCCTAATAGTATATCAAGTAGATATTTTTTCAAGGAATATAGGATAAATACAAACAATATATCGCATGTAAATTAAACCAATTAAGTACTCCTCACAGTAATATACATACAAGGATAAAGCAATTTGTTTTTATTTTAATGAGTATTATTTTTCATTTCTTTATTTTTTTATTTATAATTTTCTAACAGCATTGATTGATGCAAAACAAACATAATGTGACTAATTATATATACATGTATACACATAAATACAAAGACATATGTACATGCAAATATATACACATACAAATATATTGCTTTTATATCTAATATGCGTCAGGTATTTCAAAGTTTTTCAGTGAGATAACACCATATGGTTTCTATTTTTGTGGCACAAGATTACAGACACACATTAGGCCAGATTAATTTTTCTTTTCAAATATTTGCATCTTTAATATCTTACATAAGCTTTATTTTATAAACACAGAGAGACCATTAGTAAAATAACTCTCCCAATGAGTAAGAACTATTCACATTATTTTGAAAATGCTCAGGCCAAAAATGCTACAGGAACCAAATGGATTCATGTCTTACACCTTCCAAAGGTTCCTCCCTCACTTACTCCACCACAGGATTATTTCCTGACTTGAGAGACAGGAGAGGGCACCATGGGACCTGCTTCCTGCCACTGCCCAACTGGTATCTTCACATCACAGAAACAATGGATGTACAGATCCCCAGCTCATGTTATTTACACTATGCAGCATCTCTGTTTTCAACAGGCAACATTCCCTTGAACTCTGGAAACTCAGTGAAAACGTCCACTTAAATGAGCAATTCCAGTTCAGTCTGAATTCATCTACATGCAAATGACTACTATTTCTCCAAGAATATAAACAGACTAATACTCTGAAACTGAACTACCCTCCAGTTAAACTCCATGCTATTCATGATTTCATGGGAGAGTTCTTGTTTCTTCAGTATCTTGAATGATGTCTCAAATTGTGTTCGTATTTGATGGAAACATCCCTACCTTTCCACAGCCACTTCATGCCTAGACATTTTACTGTGCCAGATGAAAGTTACACTCCCAGGAACTACTCCATGTCACCAATGGATCTATTGTTTTAGCCCTACATAACCTCTTAGCTCCTCCATTATATCCATTAATAAAATTTCACTTATATAGGTATTACTGTGAAAGTATCTTACATTTTTCTTTAAAAATACTATTCAATAGAGGAAAGAGGAGAAGTAGGGTGAGAGTGTGGGTAGGATGGAGGGTAGGGTGTGAAGAATCACTGTATTCCTAAATCTGTATTGATGAAATGCATGAAGCTTGTGTACCTTAAATTTTTAAAATGAATAAAATGAGACTTCCATAAAAAATAAAATTACTCAATTTACTTTTATTTTAAGCAGAGCTCATGCCAGGTTCTTGTAAAATGACTGCTTCTGAAATGTGCCTCCTGTCTGAGGAGGACTGAAAAGTATGCAGTCAGCCACTGTGAATATCCATAGAGTTTACTTCTCAGAGCACAGAGGACTTTGCTGCTATGATCCAGGGAAGGCAGTGTGTGGGTACCCTGGAGTCGTAACTCATGAGAATGTAGGGGCTGATGGCAGGGAAACACCCAGCTATCAGTGTGGAGACTTTCACCTCTGACGTTTCATGAATATTGAGAAAGGCTAAACCAATGTGAAGAAAGGACGACAGGCTGCACAATACAAAGGTACTCACCAGGACAAGGATGCTTTGTGTGGCTCTGGACCCTGGGGAAGATGTGTGGGAGAGAGCGTGTATGTATTGCACCTGCTGCTTGTGCCTGTACAGGATGAAAACCATGAAGCTGCTGGCCCAGAGCATGAGCCCTACAAACACAACATCGCGGAATAACATCAGTGCTATGTACAATGATTCAGTGATTTTCCCACGAGGCATAGCAGAACAGTAGTCATAATCCATTTTCCTTGTGATATTGTTTTGCCATCTGGCAGTGACATGCACAGGTACCATGACATTTAGCATCAAGTTCAAGCTCCAGCAGAGAATAGTGGAGGGTCCAACATACTTGGGAGCTTTTACTTTAAGCCCCATCCACCTGGAGCAGGTAGGACTGATGGTGATGGCCTGGAAGACACTCAGGAGGCAGGTGCTGCCAATGGATACATCCCTGCTCACTCTGTGCACATAGAACACAAGTTTGCACCCAGTATCATCGAGGAAATGCTTCATCCCCAAAGCTGCCATGGTTTGGGGGACTCCTTTTGAGAGAATGACCAAGGCATTGGCTACAGTCAGGTGTTTGAGAATCAGATCTGTGAGCCTAAACTTGCATCCTGTGAAATAAAGGATGAGATAATGGAGAAGAAGAGAGGAATTCCCCAGAATCCCAGCCAGCGTCTGTACTAGAAAGACCATTCCTAGGGCCAGGTCCCTCGAGGCCATGCTGTCAGTTCCCAGCCTCTGCTGCTCATCTTCTGAGTGAGAGAGAATCCTGCAAGAGAATATGAGGCAGTGACCACTCAGTATTCTTGTTTTCCTCTAAAAGATACAGAGAAGCTAAGTAGGGAGAGTTAATGATGTGTCTAATCTGAACAACATGTGTGGCTCAAGAAGGGGCTTGGAATTAGCAGGCTGATCAAAGCAGTGCAGTTGAAGGTGATGTTACAGACCTGTTTGCTGTGTTCCTCACATAATGCAGTGTCTATTTAGTCATTCTCATGCCTGGTGATTTTATCTTAGATAGCTGATTTTATTACTTTGTCTGTAAGTCTACATTCAGTATAAGGACTGAAGCTGTAAGTTAATACCAGCTATGAATAAGATTTAGATATCTTAACATTCAGATTTAGAATTATGAAATAATTCTGTAGGGACCCATTCCGTACAAAATCCTTTTTAAGAATGCATAATTGCCTGTTTATTGAGTTGTTCTTCGACAAGGATTTCTTTTTTAGCATTTATTTACTTTATTATTTGAAAGTCAGAATGAGAGAGAGAAAAAGAGAGGAAAATGCTATCCACTGGTTCACTCCCTGGCTGTAATGGCTGAAGCTGGTCCAGATCAAAGCCAGGAGCCAGGATTTTTTTTCCATCTGCCACAATGGTTGCAGGGGCCCAAGCACTCTGGGTATTCTCTGCTGCTTTCCCAGGTGCATTAATAACAGTACGGACTGGAAGTGGAGTGAACAGGACTCAAACATGTGTTCATATGAGATGCCAGTTCAGCAGAGGACAGCTTAATCTACCACGTCACAGTGCCAGTGACAAGGATTTCTTTTATGCCCAAATAGAATTGGCACCTGTCACAGGAATCACTGAACACTATGCTACACCCTAAACTATGTGACATGAAATACCATATATGATATGATAAATATGATAAAAAAAAACTGTAGAGTAGAAACTAAATGTTACTAATTTCAGATCATGAACTTTTATGCATATATACTTGACACAGGTAAAATCAGTAGAAATCAGATGAGATTTCTAAAACATACTAAATTATAAGCTATCCAGTAAAGAGAATATGTAAGCTGTTAAACTTTGTATATTTTTTTAGGTTGAAATTGTAGATTTGGGGATTGATGTGAAATATATTCAGATCAGAGACTTCAGCACAGGAAACTTCGGTGCCTGAGAGTTGCTTTCTGGAATCTTGTGTGTAGCATAACCACTTCTTCATGTGCTCACTGTCTAAGATGAAAATATAAAACAGTATTTCCAATATAAGGAGACCATGGATGTTTTCAGAAAGAAACAACCACTGTCTCATTAAAAAATTCTAGCACCCAGCATCACAGGGTGCATCTCCTCCAGCAGGTGCCATCTGAACACACCAGGTCTGCCCAGCACCAGGTGGTTCCTGTTGGTTCACATCTCTGCTGCCAGCTTTGTGCTGTGAGTGTACTTTCGTGGGGCTGTTTTCATGGTGCAGCAGGTTAACTACCTCCCATGATGCCAGGTTCTCATTTGAGCACTGGTTCAAGTCCTGGATGTTCGACCACTGATTCTGCTTCTTGCTATTGTGCTTGGAAAGCAGATGAAAGCTGCCCAAGTACTTGGGTTCCTGCCACCCACATGGGAGACCTGTAAGTAGTTCCAGGCTCCTGGTGTACACACTCGCTCACTCTCTTTCAAATAAATAAACCATTCAAGAAAAGATAGTGCACATTCAGTCATCCTGAAATCACTGTGTGAATATGACAGGGTGGACGGTACAGCAATTTAATGTGGAACTGAAATCCTTGAACTTATTACAAAACAGGTTTCACTATTAATTTAATTAAATTTCACCCATCAGGATAATATTTATAGCCTTTTATTGTAGTCAAATCCCAATGATATTGTTACAACCAATTTTATTTAAAAAATACAAATTTCCTCTAAAGGATATTTTACTCCATTTCATTGATGGTAAAAGGCATTGTTAAACAGAAAGAAAGCCTAAGCATCTCCTGTATCTTAGCAGCAATGGGTTTCATGAAAAGTTAGGGCCATCTTCTCACTGGATGACTGGGCAAGGCCCCTCCCTACTTTCCTGCTGGACTGTGGTCTTTGCATTTTTCATTTGCTGAACTCTGTGTGGTACAGCATTATGCCTTGTACTATAATGTAAGTTAAAATGTTATCTCAAAAACAATAAAGAAAACATTAACTTAAAAAAAAACTTTGTAAATCTGTGACAGAAACATGCTTTTACATAAGTGAGGCTGTTATATTACGACCCCATTTTAACCATAGAACAAAATTTATTTAAGTTTTCAGTGTGAGACCTGTAAAAATTAAGATTTAAACATGAAAATGGGCAACACAACAAGGGTCCTTTGGTTTATAGTAAATGGCACAACTGCCTTTGGAGGCTGCTATCGGGTTAGGCCCTCATCTCTCTACAAGCTCTGCTCAGGCTACAGAATGATCTCCACTTCCCGGGGGGCCATGGCAGCAGGCTGGGTTCCAAATGCAAACCCCTTCTAATAGGATCTCTTACCTGGCTGCAGATTAGCAAAAGTTGGCTTCAGACTCTGTCTCAGGCTGTGATGGCAAACACCTGTCTCCTCTGATAATGAGACCGAGGGCTCTGGGTGATGTTCCAGCCTCAGTGCTTGTGTTGGTGGGATGGAGACCTTGGGAAATGTGTGACATGATGTGTGGTGTCACCTCCCCTCAGAGCAGCCATTATCTTATCACCTGTCCCTACAAGCAGAGGACAGGCCTGGGGCAGTGAGGATATTTGTGAAAAATGTTCCCCAGTTCCTTGTGACCAAAAACCAATTAGAGGTTTGTAGTTGCCATCTGTCAAGGGACTGTGGCAGTGTCTGAGAGTCTCCTTCATTTCCCTGATGCCTGGAGACAGACCAGTCACACAGGGAGGCAGTAGCTCCTGCTGGGGTCTGCGACAAGAGGGTTGCCTCTTGCTCAAGTGTCCTCCTGACTTTTGTGATGCCTGAGAAGTTTTTCTACTCCAAAGTGTGTTTCTTCCCACATCTTCAGGCCACTGAGCTGATTTGTCATTGAAGTTAGCAGTTAGAACAGACATTATTGGAGGAGGATTTTCAACAGGATATATGCAAAAGAAGAAGATGAAATTTTGCTTATAAAGAATTGGTCTTTTGCCCACATCTCAATCTCATTTAGAGTGGAAATGCAGGGGCATGACAGTGTGTTTGTGAAAGAGCAGGGTGATGTGAGGGCTCAGGGAGGGGCCAGTGGTGCACTGGAAGAGAGTGTGGGGGTGAAACAAGACATAATGCAGAGGGAGAGATGGGAAAGAGGGTTCAAGGACTGAGAGTGTTGCATTCACAGAGCAAAGTGTGGAGTTGAAGCTCCAAGGGCACCAGGTGTGCAAGGTGTGACAGCACCAAAAATGGTATGTGAGCTGACGAGGTGTGCAGGGGGTTATGGGAATGAGAGTGTCCATAGGGATGGCTCCCAGTGAAGAATGTCATTAACAGCAGAGTAGGTAAACAGTACATCAGACTTACTGTCTATGAGAGGCAAAAAGGATAATGACAGAGCCTGACAGGTGCCACATATGGGTCTTAGGGGTGACCTGTGGCCTAAGGCAGAGGTGGAGAGTGTAGGGCGTGTGGAATCCAGGTTGCTGAGCAGGGATCATGAGCACAGGGAACAAAATGGGATCAGGTTGGGAAATAGGCATGGAGGGTGGTGGAGGTGGTAGTAACAGGAGCAGAATCTATGGCTCAACCAACTCCAGCCATCTCTGCCTTGCACCCTTGGTCATCCCTCCTCCCTTTTGTTCTCTCCATTCTCTCCCAGTTCATTGCAAAAGCACATGCAGTGACCTGCATCCAGAGCCCCCTCTGTCCACCTGCCATCTGGGCAGCACCAAGGCACTAGAACTGGACATCAAGAACCACTGTGCAAGCTGGCAGTGCACAGGTTAACCAAGGAGCCCAGCTCCCTCGTGGGCCCTTGCAGAATGTCCTGAGAGACCTGCCTTGTGCTGCTGGCCCTACATCCTTATCTCCAGAGTCCAGTTTTCCTGGAGTCTTCACTGCAGCTGTTCCCTCTGTTCTGAGTCTTGGTGCCAAGTGCGATCAGTGCAGGTGCTCGCTAATGTGCTCAGTTAGGAATTCCCTCCCCTCAGTCTCCATCCCCAGCTCCATCTCTCTTTCTCAGAGGAGCTCAGAGGACAACAGAGATCAGGGTGGCTGCTCCTCTTGCTCCTGGGGAATCACAATTTCTTGACACCCAGTCACAATAAAAAAATAAAAGGCAAGAAAGGTCTTAAAATTTCATGAGTGGGGGCAGAGCCAAGATGGCGGAATAGTGAGGGCGTGCACTGATAGTCCGGGAAAAGATAGTTTAATAAAAGTGTAGTTACTGTAGCCTCAGGAAAAGGCATGGGAAAAAATTGCAGAGGAAACTCTTCCGGATCTAGTGGAGGTGACACGGAGTACCTACGGGGAGAGCAAGGACATCCACGGCGTGGAAGCCGAGTCACAGAAGCCGAGCTGCAGAGTCTGCGCACCAGCGCTGGAAGGGGAGGTGAGACAAAAACCTCAGGAACCCAAGTCATTGGCAGGGAAAGGCAGAAAGAACCTAGAGGGAATGAGGCTTGAAACCCCACTAGGTAAAGTTCACCAGGCTGAATGGAGGAGAGAAAAAAAACAAAAACAAATAAATAAGGGGAACTGGCACAGACACTAGCCTCTTTTTCCACTCACCTTAGAAAGCCAAGAAAGACAAAGAGCAGGCGCCATTTTGGACATACATAAAGCAGTGCCGCCATTAGCCAAGCAGAAAAACCTGACTCTGGTGGGGAGAAATAACTGGAGGTTAGAACCTAGTGAAAGTGTGGAGCTAACAGAGACTGAAAATCTAAGGGTGGGCAAGAGAACTCGCTGAGTACACAAACTCAGTAACCTTGGCAACCCGGTTAGAGACTGTGAAGAAATTTGAGACCACACTGAGGGCTGCGT